TGAGGGGTGGGTGGGGTGAGGGGGGTGGTGGGGGTGAGGGGTGTGGGTGAGGGGGTGGGTGGGGGGTGGGGGTGGGGTGAGGAAGAGAGGAGGAAGGAAGGAAGAGGTGATTCGAGCTCTGGTGAGACGGGGGAAAGAGTGGGGTGTGGTGAGGTGTGAAAGGATTGACGGTGGGAAGGGTATCAGGTGAGGTTTGGGGGCATTTACATTGCCGCTTCATCCCTGTGGTCAATTGTTCGTCCCATATTTCCTGTTCTGCATTACAATTTACGAACCAGGAATAGGATTTTGTTGATATCTACATAAACGAAACAAATCTGTTGTCAATAAAACATGTAAGCAACCCCCAGGTCCATGAAGGTCAAGGCCACACTTTGGGGTCAGAGGTCAAATGTGTGTTCACTCTAAACACTTTGGGGTCAGAGGTCAAATGTGTGTTCACTCTAAACACTTTGGGGTCAAAGGTCAACTGTGTTCGCTCTAAACACTTTGGGGTCAAAGGTCAACTGTGTGTTCGCTCTAAACACTTTGAGGTCAGAGCTCAAATGTGTGTTCACTCTAAAATTATGAACCAGTGAAGGACATGTTATGATGGATACTGAAACAGTTTATTTAGCCAGAAAAATACAGATACAAAGTGAACAATAACAACAACATTGACAGACTCACTGGTCAAGGTCACATTTGGGGGTCAAAGGTCAATAGCGTGTATCAACTGTGCTCATAATGACGCCAAGTGCCTCAGGTGCTCATAATGACGCCAAGTGCCTCAGGTGCCAGACGCCGCCTCAGGTACCTAACGACGCCAAGTGCCTCAGGTGCCTGCACGACGCCGTGCCTCAGGTGCTCATAATGACGCAAGTGCCTCAGGTACTCATAATGACGCCATGTGCCTCAGGTGCTCATAATGACGTAGGTGATAGAGAGACACTCATTATAACCTCAGTAAATAACTTCTCAAAAAGTCTCTTAAGTTCTTTTTATTCTTTTTAACGTCTAGCCAAATAATTCCTGGTATCTGCTAATTGCTGTTGGCGGCGAACATTTCCCTCTCTTCATCCAGACCAAGACAGTCTTAGCCTGATGATGAATCTAATGAACTGCAGGTGACTCCTTTGTCGTCCCTTGATAATGTCCTCCTACGTCGAAAAAAAAAAAAGAGAGAGAGAGAGAGAGAGAGAGAGATATCATTATCTTTAGTGTCAGTATCAGGAGTTGGTTCCTCCTCACTTCTGGTCCACCTTCTGTCACCCTCTCCACAGTCACCTCTTCCTCCCCCCGTATTCACCTCTTCCTCCCCACAGTCACCTCTCCCTCCCCACAGTCACCTCCCACAGTCACCTCTCCCTCCCACAGTCACCTCCCTCTCCCCACAGTCACCTCTCCCTCCCCACAGTCACCTCTTCCTCCCCACGGTCACCTGTCATGTTTACACCTCCCCCCAGCTCACCTGCAGCTTCTCTACGGACTCTTAAGGACATTATTCATTGCACTGGTTTCTTCCACACACCATTCATGCTCTTGTGAGTGAGGACAACAGGAGGCAGAAATATATCCAGCTCGCGTCTGCCAGGTCCCATAAAAGTGTCAATACGCTGTTGTAAAGGTCGCTGTTGATGACTTACGCTCGAGTTGTTTTTATTATTTTTTTTATTAATAAGACGCTGTTGAAGAATCGTCAGACAGACACAGAAATTGTCACCTACCTCAGAACTCATATAGTTGCCAGAAGAGAACTTTTTTAAAACTTTGAGAAGGTAACACAGATTTTTGTACAAGTTTAACTAACAATACTTAATAAAGGAATGTTGTGTTGGGAGGAGGAGGGAGGGAGGGTGGGGTGGGTGGGTGGGTGTGTGGGGTGTTACTCAGGACAAATCTCCAAGAGAAAATATCATCACTACTACCACCACCACTACCACCATCACCGACACACACACCTCTCTCCAGTACTAGTTATAATGTGATACGAGATATTACATTATACAGTATAATGCCACGTGTGTTATTGATCTGTCTGCATATTGTCCACCTCTCTCTCTCTCTCCTCCTCCTCCTCCTCCTCCTCTTCGTGGTCTAGGTAACCCTCACCTGTCCTCTTTAATAATCTTTTACCACTTCTCTCCTTCTCCTGTCTCTCTATTTTTATTTTCGTTGTCTCTCTCCCTTCCCTGTTTTGTTTTTTAGTTGTTTCCCATATCTTGTTCTCTCTTTCGCTCTTTTCCCTTTTTTCTCTCTCTCTCTTGTTTTCTTTCTATTTTCTCTCCTCTCTCTCTGTTTTGTCTTCTTTTCACCTCTCTCTCTCTCTCTCTCTCTCACACACACACACACACACACACACACACACAGATGCAAACCAATGTCTAAATCACGTGGAACGAGATTGAAACTTCTTCCAGCCAAATCCCCACGAATACAACTTGTCTGGTTCGTCTTGTCAGGTGTGTGTGTGTGTGTGTTGGTGTTAAGAGCTTCCCCAGCGCTCAGTCCAAGGACAAAATTTCCATGAACAAAATCTGTGCATCACCTGAAGATTAGGCACATTAGTTTATTTCACCTGCAGTATAACACTAACGCTACCTGAAGGGGCTAGTTTTGGGTAGGTTAGGTCAGGTTAGGTTAACGACTATGGTGACTAATCTAAAGGTGAAATAAGTTAGGTGTTTATTTAATCTTCAAATGAACCAAAATGCTGCAACCCAAGAAAGTGTGTCTTGTAACATAAGCGAGTGGGCAAGTTTCTTTACGCCATTTGCCTCTGTCTACCCAGCAGTAATTGGGAACCTGGATATTAATCGATTTGCGAATCGTGTTCCCGAGTAATGGTTAGCCAGTGCAGTTGGCAAGTTGTCCGGTCTTCTCGGACTATTCCTCGACATTGGGGTCATGCAGCTCGTTAACTCAGGGTGTGGTTGATGTGTTGGTAACAGCTTTTACACTTCAAACGATTTTACGCCTAGGTGGCCATAGGGGCGACCATCCTCAAACACGAGATGGTAACCATTATTGTGTGTGTGTGTGTGTGTGCGTGTGTGTGTGTGTGTGTGTGTGTGTGTGTGTGTGTGTGTGTGCGTGTGTGTGTGTGTGTGTGTGTGTGTGTTCAGAGGTTGAAGGTGAGTGTCGGTGTGATCATCCCACGGTGTATACCTCCCTAGGTGTGTTTTGTGTTGACAGCCTCCATTGTGTGAGTGGTGGTGCGGGGTGTTGTAGTGTAGTGGTGCGGGGTGTTGGTGTGAGTGTAGTGGTGGGGTGTTGTGAGTGTAGTGGTGCGGGGTGTTGGTGTGAGTGTAGTGGTGCGGGGTGTTGGTGTGAGTGTAGTGGTGCAGGGTGTTGGTGTGAGTGTAGTGGTGCAGGGGTGTTGGTGTGAGTGTAGTGGTGCAGGGTGTTGGTGTGAGTGTAGTGGTGCAGGGTGTTGGTGTGAGGTGTAGTGGTGCGGGGTGTTGTGTGAGTTAGTGTGGTGTGTGGAGATGGTGCGGGTGTTGGTGTGAGTGTAGTGGTGCGGGGTGTTGGTGTGGTGTAGTGGTGCGGGGTGTTTGTGTAGGTGTAGTGGTGGGGGTGGTGTGAGTGTAGTGGTGCGGGGTGTTGGTGTGAGTGTAGTGGTGCGGGGTGTTTGTGTGTAGTGGTGCGGGGTGTTGGTGTGGAGTGTAGTGGTGAGGTGTGGTATGGTGTAGTGGTGTTGGTGGTGTAGTGGTGCAGGTGTTGTGTGAGTGTAGTGGTGCGGGGTGTTGGTGGGTGTAGTGGTGCGGGGTGTTGGTGTGAGGTTATGGTGGGGGTGTTGGTGTGAGTGTAGTGGAGGTGTTGGTGTAGGTGTAGTGGTGCGGGTGTTGGTGTGAGTGTAGTGGTGGGGGTGTTGGTGTGAGTGTAGTGGTGCGGGGTGTTGGTGTAGGTGTAGTGGTGCGGGTGTTTGTGTGAGATGTAGTGGTGCGGGGTGTTGGTGTGAGTGTAGTGGTGCGGGGTGTTGGTGTGAGTGTAGTGGTGCAGGGGTGTTGGTGTGAGTGTAGTGGTGCAGGGTGTTGGTGTGAGTGTAGTGGTGCAGGGGTGTTTGTGTGAGTGTAGTGGTGCGGGGTGTTTGTGTGAGTGTAGGATACTCCCCCACACCACCCTACGACCCATGGCTGTCTCAATGTTAAGGATTAAAGACACAGTGGCCAGGGGTTGGATTCTCAAACTCATCGTATAACTGAAGAAAAAAAACACTTGTAAGGTTAAATTAAACTTAAACACAGAAATAACATCCAAAAATAAAATGAAGTTTATAATAAGACTTTAACTCCTGACGAGATAACTTGAGTCTTCACCAGTTAGGAGACAATTAAGGTAGAGACTCTTCAGTAAAACTCTATAATTCAGTCTTAACTTTGTGCTGGATGCTAAGGTAACGAGTCTTATTAAGTCTCATTAAAATCGTGAAGCTTCTTTGGAGGTATTTTGGGACATTAACTCAAAATCAATCAGGTATATGTATTGTAAACATCTTCATTTATCAGGAATATTTAGGGTAGGAACCATGACTCCTCATACACTACTACTACTACTACTACTACTACTACTACTACTACTACTACTACTACTACTACTACTACTTTACCCCTCATCACCATCACCCCCTCCCCCACACTTCATTCCACATCTCCAAATTTCCTCTTTAACAACGTCTAACTTTTCAGACTTCCTTAACCTTACCTTCCTTAACCTTACCTTCCTTAACCTTACCTTCCTTAACCTTACCTTCCTTAACCTTACCTTCCTTAACCTTACCTTCCTTAACCTTACCTTCCTTAACCTTACCTTCCTTAACCTTACCTTCCTTTGTGTCGTCCAGGGCATAAATACATCGTTGTTTTTTTTTCACCTTCCCATTGTATCTCTCATTCACGACTGGTTTTTAGTGACGAATATATTGAGTTTTTATTGTCCTCCTTCCCTTACAAACAGTTTATCATAGTCTTTATTATTTTATTTTATTATTTTTTTTATCTGATCAACACAAACAAGTGAGGTATATTTCGTACTGTTTATTGACAAAAACCTCATTACAACTCAAGGGTATATTATTGTTCCTATATAATAAAATAACACGTCACTATCGTCTCGAGCAAATACTGTAGGGTCGTGTGTTCCGTCCTCCCTTTAACATTGTCCACTGTACACTTAAGGCCAACATAAGCCTTCTCTACCTCTTCGTTGGCTGACTGATTCATATTCGTAATTTGGTGCTACAACTTATGATAAACGGAGAGAGAGAGCTGTCTGGCTAAAGTGCTGTTTCTTTTCTTCCAAATAACATTCCAGGGATTCTTGCAGCCGTCCAGGGAAGTCTTTTAGATGCTCAAGTGACCTTCTGACTGCCTAGGTGACTTTCTGGGTGCCTAGGTGACCTGACTGCCTAGGTGACTTTCTGGGTGCCTAGGTGACCTGACTGCCTAGGTGACTTTCTCCATAAATGACTGACTTTACGATTACCTAGACGGCTTGTTGTCTTCTCAGGTGACACTTCGGCGGTCCAGGTGACTACAGCTATGGGGGAATGTCTTAGAGTTTCCATCAGCGTCGGGATTTTTTTTCTTGTACTAAATTATTAAGGAAATAAACATTAACATTAGGACCTAATAACTACATTTGGCACACTGAATACAAGCTCGTCCAGAATCTGTCATTCGTGAGCGTTGAACAGACGCTGAATATTTTTCGTAATGAACATTGAACTAACGATGAGGATACACAGGTCTCTATGTGTGATGGACACTGAACACATCAGTAAAACACTTAAATGACTCTGTGTAAGTGTTGAGCAGACACTTGGGAAAAATTTGAAGACACTGAACATCTG